CGTTTCATGTGTTTAGTCCTTAATTTCAACATAATAAATGGCACCAGCTATTTCACATAGCCATGACCTTGCTGTATTGTTCTTGTAGAATTACAGACTGTGGAATTCTAAATCTGAAAGGGACCTTCTGTTAGGAATCCCCACTCCAGTCCTTCGCTTCACAGAGGGGCAACCCAAAGAGCCCTTTCTTCATCTCTTGCAGCTGAGTGCCCTGCTCCCTGAGGTGGGCAGCACTGCGCAGGCTGGTGTCCTTGGGACATACAGACAGAGGGGATGGTCACTCAGGCTCTCTAGGCCTCTTGCTCTTGATGCTGATCTGATATCAGCAAATGAGGTTCGGTCAGTGACAATCAAAGGAATATAGACTGAACTGCACTGGCATGTGTTCCACTCCACTTCTATGCACAACAAAAGGTATCACAGGAAGTTTCAACAAGTGCGAGAAAAAACGTATTACGGGAATAAAAATCTTTAAAAGTAAGTTTTTGTATCAATGTTGTTCAATGATTTTATAATGTACATCCCACATTTTTAATATGCTTTGAATAAAATTATAACAGAACCAAGAAATTCAGATAACAATATGTACAGCATCTTCAAAATAGTGCACAGAAAAGTACACATCGCATTTGAATCCCAATTTCCACCAACTGTTTAGAACTACCCTCCTGCCTTGGTGAATAAACCATTAATCAGATAATATATTACGCCATTATATAATTCTTGATAAACCAAAGATGTTTAAAAACATGTACTTATTTATATATTTGAGAGACAGAGTTATAGGAAGACAGAGAGAGAATATTTTTTTTCTACTGGCTCACTTCCCAGACAGCAACAAGCCAACAGTGAGCAGGCAAGAATTAGGTGCCAGACCAAAGCTAGGGGCCAGAGCCTCATGTGGGACTCCCACACAGGGAGCAGGGGCTCAGGCACTAGGCATTGCCTTTCCCAGGCCATTAGCATGGAGCAGAATCCAGAGTGGAGCTGCCAGGACACAAACCGTTGCCTATATGGGGTGCCTATAAAGTGGCTATAGTTACTATGTCACAATGCAGATTTCCAATAAATCAATGATTTTCATGATGATAAAATGGAAGTTTTATTTTAATCTGTAATCGAAAAGACAACTGTCAAAACAAAGAAAACTAGAGAAATCACTACATTCACATTTTAAAATCCTGAACTTCAAATGAAAGCCCTGAAGCCAGGTTCCTCCTATGAAACATTTTATAGATATTACTTTTATTCATCTGCCTTCCCTCACTTTTTTTTTTTAAGATTCATTTTCTTTTTATTGGAAAGTCAGATATACAGACAGGAGGAGAGACAGGGAAGATCCTCTGTCTGGTGATTCACTCCTCAAGTGGCCGCAAAGCCTGGAGCTGGGCCAATCTGAAGCCAGGACCCTCTTCCAGGTCTCCCAGAGCAGGTGCAGGCTCCCAAGGCTTTGGGACATCCTCTCCTGTTTCCCCAAGCCACAAACGAATGGGAAGTGGGCTGCAGGGATTGGTGCTGGTACCCATATGGGATCCTGGCACATGCAAGGCGAGGACTTTAGCCACCAGGCTATCATGCCAGGCCCCTGCCTTCCCCTTTGTGAAGCTTTCTCAGACCCCCATATGGCAAGTGTGCCCTCCTTTCATTGCCCCACTTGGTCCCTGGTATGTAACCCACCCCAGCATATAACAGGACCAAGTCTAGGCCTGCACAATTACTTCCCCTCTTAGACTCAGGGATCTTTGAGATTATCGCCTTGGGCCGACCTGAGGCAGAGAAAGGATGCAGAGAATGTTAGCTGCAGAGAATGTTAGCAATTTAGTAAAAAAAACAACAACAACAACAAAAAACATTGCTTTCTGCCAAATCAGAAAGCATGCATACTGAGGATTCACCCAGGTAAAACAAAGACCTCCTTAACATTCACTGGAACGCTGGTCCTCAGTGATCAAACAGGAGCGGATGGCAGCGACTTATTCTGGGCATCCGCCTGTGGGGAAGGCAGGTTTCCAGCAAAGCGGGCAAGTGGGCCTTTCAACACTGAGCAATTTACACACATTAACTCCAGGCAGCTTATTTGCACAGCAGTGCCTGGTGCTATAAAGGACACTGTTAGCACTCAGGATGGTAAGCTCCAGTAAAAGTACTCGCTCACCACCTCCACCTGCCAGACACTGTGTGTTTAAACATTTCCTTAGAGAAAGCTCAATGGGAAAGTAATCGCTACCTGTGTTCTGAAAATCAGTTAATTGCATCAGCGATTGAATATGTATTCTTTTCATTAAGGATATACAGCAGAATGGATGTGCCACAATACTAAAACCTACAGTATTATGATCCATCTAATATATATTACAAGAAAGAATGCATCTGTAAACATGTGATGCAACACATATTTTTCCATAGTCTATGTTCACATTTTTTGATAGTGTAAATTAGACACTGCAAAAGAGAGAGGCTAGATTAAAAAAGCCTATTGTAAGTGCAGAGATGGGAAGGCTCCACTGGGGACACTCCACTTAGCTAACACTCGCCAAAACAACAGCAAACACAGAAGACAGAAAAATGCACAATGTAACATCACGGAGTTCAAGAAAGTTATGGTCATCAACCAAGCTTTACACTACAACAGACTCATGAAAGGGAGCGGAACTAAGTAAGGATATCACTGAACTTGTCCTAAACAGGAAAAATGTTACATACCCTTGCGTCATTGGTTGTTCTGGCTTCTACCAATTAAAAAAAAAAAATCTTGACATTATTACTTCATATCATTCTACACGAAAAATATTCCAGAAATGCAAATACTAAAATATAAAGGCATAGGAAGCTAATTTCAGGAACTTGATACTGGCTTCAAATCTTCAAATTGGAAAGCCAATAGTAGCACTTTTTTGGGGGTGTTGAAATCATAAGGGTAAGAAATACATGATGACATACATAAGTAAAATCAAAAACATAGTGTTAGTTGTTACTCTAGAAGGGCAACAGCAGCTAAGAATAGAGATTGCTTCAGCCTTTCATGAGCCACCGAGAGGTGGATTAGAACACTGGAGATCTGTTTTCTCACAGCGGACTTGGGATCCCGAAGCCTGGCATTCCCATATGTGCAGAGCTAGATTTCTGGTGAAAATTTCAGCGACAGATCTGCTGAGGCCTCTCATGGAGCCTCCTCGATTTCTGATTTATGACAGATAAACTCCAGCCTTCCTGCGCTCTGGCCAGCAGAGCCAGTAACGTAGACAGGGAGAGGGTCTGGAGATGAAGCCCCCACAGGAGACCAGCTTTCCCGGAAGTCGAGTAGCCCTCCACCTTGCCTTATATATTTCTCCCACAAAGTCCTTTAGCCAAGCAATTGCATACAGGTGAGCCCAATTGCACACGACTGAGCCTAGTTCTGCTTAGTCCATACAGCTGAATCCAATTCTTCTTACTCCGGGTATTTTACAGGGTGGAAAGTTCAGCCTGTGCTTCTGCTGTAACCGCAAGCCCAGTTCCTGTTACTGCTCTGCTTAACAAGCGCTATTAGCTCCTTAGCCCCCAACATTCCTGTGATACTCTTGTGTGCACATGCCTTTTCTGTTTTTCATAAAGACATCTGTAATATTTTTTAAAAAATCTTCAACAAACTTTGATATTTCTACTTACAACATGGAGGTTACACATTTTTAAACAAAATGTGGATAAGCGATAAACATTCTGAGAATCAAATTTAAAAAACAAACATAACGTTCTTGTACTTTGACACTTAACGTACACGCAGAAGACTTTGGTGATCAGGCTTACAACATGGGCCTTTAGGAAGACATTCAAACTACTCTCTAAACCGTGGTAACTATGTCACGTCTAACTAGAAGAATAGTACATGTTTTGGATAGATTTTTTTTTTTGTAAATATTCATTTACTTGAAAGAGTTACAAACAGGGATGGAGAAAAGGATTAAGGGAGAGAGGGAGAAGAGTGAGAGAGTGAGAGATCCTCCATCTGCTAGTTCACTCCCACATGGCCCCCTAGTCCGGGGTGAGCCTCACTGAAGCCAGGGGCCAGGGTGTTGGGAGCCCAAGCACCTGAGCCACCATGCACTACTTTCCCAGGCACGTTAGCAGGGAGGTAGATCAGAACTGGAATAGCTGGGACTCAAACTGGCTCCCACATGGGGTGCTGGCATTGCAGGCTGTGACTTAATGTGCTGCTTTACAACATCAACTCCTGCGATATGAGTCTTCTGCCAGAGGCTCTAACAAGGCAGATGCTTAAGCTAATTACGGTTAGGGGAAGGGCTTTGGGAAGCGACGAGACTGGATTAAGGGTAGTGATCTGGAAGGAGACCCTACATCCAGTTACCATAGTTTGACAAGGACAGACAGAGGCATACGTGCCCCCTCTTACCACAGAATGTTCTCCATGGCCTGGGGATCAACCAGTAACAACAATAACAACAGAAGCCAAACCAGTCTGGGACTGTGATCCTCCACAAATGTACCTCTTTGCTTAATGAGTAACCTTTGTCAAGTAGTTAGCTACAGTGACTAAAAAGAAATTAATATAATTCTTTCTGAGATGCAATTCTTTTTGGCTCTTTTTTCTGCCTTCTTATATGGAAAACATATATACTTACTACAAAAAAACCCTTTATGTTAAATATAAAATGTATTAGTGAAAATGTGGTATAAAAATTTCTATTGACCGTAAAGCATATGTTTTTCCTTTAGTCAGAAGTTTCCCAATGGTATTTTATGATGTAAATAATAATTTGACTAACAGAGAAAAAACATACAGATACATTCAATGAATACTATCTAAAATGCTTCTTTAAGTCTTGAGCAAAATGTCTTTATGACTCAATTTCAGATGGCTGGTTTCATTATACTCTAAAAATAATTAGACACTAACTGATTAATAACTAGATTTCTGAAAGAGATTTCCAACCACACCTCCCCAAGTTTTTAAAAATAAAAGTGACTGGCAATTATTCCGCATGCTGCTGAAGGCTGTTTACCTGCAGATGGCTGGAAAACACTCCTGAAGTCCTTTCTTCTTCACCAAAGACCCTTCAAGGCAGTACATAATGATGTCCATTACCTTTGACAAAAAGACACAAAGTTAAAATTAATCTCAAGCAGTTAATTTTTCCAAAATTTTCAAAATGTAGCGTTCACATTGACCCAGGAAAAGTCCAAATAGTTTGACATTAGTCATTAAAACAAGACAAAAGAGAAAGGCTACTGCAGGGTGTCCTTTGTCTTATCTATGAGAAAAAATAATAAAAGGCAATGTAATACAATAAAGAGCAAAGACTTGTTTACTGTGAGGTAAATGCAGACTTATATGTGGTGTAACTAGCTTTTATTTAAGAACAGTATATATTGTGTTTAATTTATAATGAAAGATCTTTATGATCTTTAAAAATGACTCTAATACAGAGCAGTTCTATGTGAACGGTGCATGGACACAGCAATGATTTTTATTTTTGAGGAAATTTAATTAAGGTCTCCAGAAATGGCACAAAAGTTAATTTATTTTAGCGCGCTCTCTCTCTCTCACACACACACACTCCACTTTGTATTGCTACATATCTTTTAGGGATACCACAAAAAAATATACTGATTAGTATTATTGCAATAGCATATTTAGCTCAGTGTCGCTGCATCATTTGCAGCAGGTGCCCTTACCTCCACAAGGAGATCCACAACATCCGTGGGCATCTTTTCAATGAGAATTTCAATGACTCTAAGAATCTCCCCTTTAGCTCGAGCAAGAGTCGTGGTGTGTATATTCTGCTGCGATTGGGTGTTTGCTGCAAGAGCTGTATGTCTGTGCACCTATAAAAACATTTCCATGTTGTAAGTATGACTGACTCTTGACACTGTTTAAAACAGCTAGCCACTGATTTATTTTTCACTAGCTAAAACAACTGGAAAAATCAAGAGTTAACAAAGACAAACCGATTTAGGTAGGGAAAGAAAAAAAAATCTGATTGCAAACAGAGCAACTAGGAAAACCAAAACTCAGTAAAATACTGCCTAACAAAAATTTCTAAGTTCTTGGGCACTTTGAGAAACATTACGATTACTGTGACATTTTAGAAGAAGCAAGCTGAAGATCTGTGAGTTGGGGCATCTGGGGCCTGAGGTGTGCAGTAATTAGGAGAGGCTGAGGGGTTTAAGATACAATCCCTGCCCCCAAGTAGTAACAGTAAACGACACCAACGTGAGGATTCCTCAGAAAGTTCATGGAAAGTGGAATTAAAAATAAATTTACTTTGGTGAGAAACAAATTTTCTGAAAGCCATACATATGACTATAGCACTTGCTGTCACTATTATTCTAAGCAATTTACAACCAAATTTAGAAAATCAAATGAAATTAGATTTTTTCCCCATAAAACATGTAAGCTTTATAGTTCAGAGAAAGAGCTAGCCGTGACTGATCACGGAATAGTGGACAGATGGGTTTCATACAGGATAACTCAGACAGACACAAATATCTTAGTATTTTACTTGAAGGCTGTACAATTAAAAAGTGGAAAACTTGTTTTTAAAAGGTAATAAATATGGACTTTGTTATATTAAAATATTTTGAAATTGTTTCAGCCAGCAGCTGGCACAGAATTACTCCAAAACACAAATATTTTGAGAGTTCATTTAAAGATACATGTATATACACATATGCCCACAAATACAAAACATACATACCTATGTATATTTTTAACATAGTGGAACCTCAGTGTAACGTTGGGCACTATTAGGGAAACACATACCCTCAGCTTATAGATTTACATTAGATAGGAACCTGAAGTTTCGGGGTCTCACAGAAGCTACACAAACCACCATCAGGACCCTCCATTCACCCTCCCAGTAACCTCTGCATCACAAGTGTTATTACAGCATGCCCGCTAGGGATGGCCCAGGGGCACATCCAAGCACTAAACACAGAGGTACTTGCTTGGTATTTAATAACTTCATCACACTTACAGGAAAAACAACTGAGTCCAATCAATGTGGACATGGAGCCACATATTATTCATGTGAAAACGGAATATACGTTTTAAAAAATAGGAGCTTATCATCCTTCTCTTTTTCTCCCCTAGTGAGTTCTAAGGCAAAGACCCTGTAATTGGTCCATTGTTCTTTACTAGCTTTTCAGTTAGATGTGGGCAATTAGTTAGAACACTAAGACTGTGGGAATCAATTGACATTCAAGCCTTTATCTGTGACATGTAATAGGAAAAACAATTAGCAAGTTTATGACTTACATTTTTTGTTTACAGTTGGAGAGCCAGTTTGGTTTTGATTACAACTAGGTACTTACCCTTGAGAAAAAAAGTAAATGGCTTTAATGTAATATCTTAATTGACATAAGCCTGCTAGGATTCAGATGGAAAACCTATTGTCAAATATGTACAAGTGAAATATAAATGGATACAAAAGTAAGTCGTGAATGTACTGGTGTGGATGCAGGTAAACTTATAAATGTTCATATTAGTACTGAGTTATTAACCAGCGATGTTCTAACCGAGAGTAAACTTAGCAGGATTATTTGTGGATAATGGACCTTAGGTTCAGGCATCGGACAATGTCTCTGGATGGGAAGATAGAGTGCACCGGGAAACCCCACTCACCTCCTTGGCTATGGTGGTGATGAAGGCCGGTGGTCTGGCAGTGGCAATGAGTGAGAGGGCATGCCTTGCAGAGCGGGCGGAGTCAGCTGCCGGGCTCAGGGGCAGCCCCATTGTGATGCTAAACAGGGATCAGAAAAAAAAAGGAAAAGAAAAAAGAAGCATTGGAAATATAGACTGAAAAGATTAGACACAGCTTATAATGTCGGTTCAAGGTCAATGGGAGCACTCCAACAGTTAGAATATAATGGACTTGCAACAATGAGCAGTGATTAGGAGTCAGCGTGTTTTGGCATCAAATACAAAATCGAATAATTAACCGTGAAGATTGAAAACAGTATGTGCATCTGTCCAAAGTGTTAAAAACACCTTGTTAACAAATTATCAAGAACTAGCACTGAATACATATCGCAAAGCTCAGAGAAAGACAAGATTGAACACCATGCAGGATATCTTCAAAATTCTCCTGAAACAAAGAGTTAGAGGTTTTAATTTGTTTAAAGATCATGCTTATTTTCAGTAGTAAAGCTCATTTAGTTTTAGAACTGATCCACCAATCAGCCAACAGCTACTTAATATTGATGTGAAAATTATATTAACTGATATCATCCTCTTTATATAAAGGAGAAGCAACATGACATTGTCCAGCCTGTTTATAAGACTACGCACACAGCGGAATAAATCTTTCCACCCTGTGAAGCTCTGGAAAGTGATGCTACAGTTACTCCTGCCTCGAATGCAGAAAGATATAGGTTTGCTTCCCAGAGTCCTTTTTATTATATTTATACAAGGCACTATTAAAGTATTAATATGTTCAATTAAAATGTGCCATGTGATCTGTATATTAGCTAAGTACAAGGAATACTCTATTACTTAGAATGGGATCTGATTAAGCTTCTCTAGCTAGATAACATATTAAAACATAAAACACACTCATATTTATCCTAGTCCAATCAAATAAATCTATGCACTGCATGTTAAAGTGGATTGCATTTAGTAAAATTTTTCAAAAGTTTATAGGTATCTCAGTAGTGGAGAGAATCACTACTTTAAATTTTAGTTGAAAACAAAGATGTATAACACGGGTGCTCATCGTTACCTCCTGGTTCTAGAAAATTCTGCTTACAATTGCTGTAACTGTTTAACTGCTTCAGTCATTGACTGATACTATGACTTTTCTTTTTTCACATCGAGGGTAGAGGCCAAACCGGATGTCAGAATAAAGGAGTACAGAGACTCTTTCTTTGATGCTTACTACTGAAAGGGAAGATGTGAGCTGAGAGAACACGCACACATATTGAACCATCAACACACAGAATGCCCTGGTGAGCACTTCTCCCAGGGAAGGCTTCTGGCCCTGGAGTCCCACCAGATGCAAGCAGGAAGGGCAGTGGGCAGTTAACCAGCTGCTTTTCTGGATTACACTTCACCTTGCAAACTCAGCAAAAGAAATGTTTATCATGTGAGCCGTGCTGTGGCTGCAATGCTTAATAATTACAGCAAAAACTCAAATGCTCAGGAAACTTTTTAGATGCCCTGCGCTGTTTCCTTTCTTTTATTGATGTGGAGGTACAGGGGTTGATGATATTGAGAGACTGAAACAAACCAAGATGGTACGTTAATTGAATAATTCTGCACGCACCTGAATCAAATTTCACAAGATCAATAAAATCACAGAATGTTGGATTGGAAGATTCCCAATGTGTCTGACAAGCAATCAGCCGGGGAAAGGGTGTGTCTATCTACTGGGCAGCCCATCGGACATCTTGAAGGTGTGTGTCACAGGAACGAGAGCTGGACAGAGAGTCCAAGGCTTCAGGTTGAAGCCAGACTCCCCCAGGCTGGTTCCTGTCCTCTAGGACATGCCTATGAATCAGCTGATAGCTACACTTCCCAAATGAGAAATGAGGCCCAAGGGGTTTGGAGGAGCTAAGAGAGTACTGTACTGCACAAATACCCCAACACACAAACATACAGAGTACTGCACTGCAGACACACCCTTACACACACACGCACCATTACACACACACACAGTACTGTATTGCAGAAACACCCCCAAACACACAGAGTACTGCACTGCAGGAACACCCATACACACAGAGTACTGCACTGCAGACACACCCTTACACACACACACACACACACATACAGAGTATTGTATTGCAGAAACCCCTTATGCAAACACAGAGTACTGCACTGCAGACACATCCTTACACACACACATACATACAAAGACAGTACTGTACTGCAGAAACACCCCTACACACATACACACACACGCTAACATAGTATTGTACTGCAGAAACACTCGTATACACACACACAAAGACAGTACTGTATTCAGAAACACCCCTACACACATACACACACACGCTAACATAGTATTGTATTGCAGAAACACTCGCATACACACACACAGACAGTACTGTATTCAGAAACACCCCTACACACACACAAAGACAGTACTGTATTCAGAAACACCCCTACACACACACAAAGACAGTACTGTATTCAGAAACACCCCTACACACACACAAAGACAGTACTGTATTCAGAAACACCCCTACACACATACACACACACACACACTCTTTTGCTTTCTGGAATTGGTTCCGTGGTCAACTGTGGTCCAAAATCACTTACTCTAAAGTTTCGGGAATCAACAGAGCTTCTTCCTCACTTCGCAGGCCTTCCTGAAGAGCACGGTGGAAATCTCACACCCCCGGCTCCATCCCACACACCACTGATTATCTCTTTGTCCAGCCTTGGCTATCAGTTGAATATCAGATTGAATGTCACAGCTTCACAGTGCTTACATTCAAGCAAACTTAAGCAACAGCCGAACGCTACACCACAAGGCCTGCATCACTCACTCCACTTCATCTCATCTGACAGGCCGCCAGATAACCTCACAGTGCAGGAGGAGTACAGGAGGAAGAGATGTTTGAAAAGACAGCATACCTATGCAGGTTTTACTATGTTTGTTATCTACTATTGTTGTTAATCTCTTCACTGTGCCTCATTTAAAATTAAACTTTATCATCAGAAAAAACATAGCACATCACCGTATAGAGTTTGGTACTAGCCAGGATTTCAGGCATTCCCTGGGCATTTCGGAACACATCCCTTACAGAGGATGAGAATGGTACGATAATATCCTTCATGATAGCTACCCTGTAGGGAAAATAAGACGGAAACTGCATAATCATATTGCAATTAACAGGTCCGGCATGATGACTCAATTGGCTAATCCTCCCCTTGCAAGTGCCATAATTTCATGTGGGTCCTGGTTCATGTCTCAGCAGCTCCACTCCCAGCTCCCTGCTTGTGGCCTGAGAAAGCAGTCAAGGATGGTCCAAGGCCTTGGGACCCTACACCTATGTGAGAGACCCACAAGAAGCTCCTGGCTTCTGGCTTTGGATCAGCTCAGTTCTGGGCTTTGCAGCCACTTGGGGAGTGAACCAGCAGCCAGAAAATCTTTCTCTCTGCATGTCCATCTCTTTGTAAAACTGCCTTTCCAATAAAAATAAATAAATCTTTAAAACAATATATAAATATTGCAGCTAACTGCATTAATGAATTAATATCATGTGGAACCCAGTGGCTCCAGATAAACAGCTAGAGGCATCCATGAGAGAGATGCCTACTGACGTGTTGCAGTACTTGGACTTGAACTGTTCTATTCAGTATTATTTTTGATATGAAGGAAGACGGAGGATGCTTATCTGAGGAACTGACAGAACCGTATCAGTTGGTGTGAGTATGATGTTGTAAAATCAATTAAATTAAGTCAGAATTAGCTAAGTATGAAGCTTTACACGTGGGTACACAAATGGCCACCTTTACAAGGCAGAAGTGGGTGTGAGACTGTAGAAGCAAGCTTGTGATCTGCTGAAAGCTGTCTCTCAGACACCAGAAAGGAGGGTGGGGATGCAGCCTGGACCCAGAGAGCGGGGCTGGATGCAAGAGAACACAGTGACAAGGAAGGTGCCAATCTGCTGTCCTCCGTGGCTGGGGTGCCTGCCCAACCTCCTCGAGGAGGCGCTGCTCCCCTGGTGTTGAGACAGCACCTGGCTCCTGCAGAACAAGACTCCCAGCACCCTGCAGGAGTCCTGAGAAGTCCAGATCACCACCAGCTGTGTGCTGCTGGGGCCTCCAGCAAATGGCAACCCAAGATCTATTCACACAAACAGTATGCACACAGACCCGCACCACCAAACCCCTGTTTTGTCCCTGTCTCTTCTTTCTCCAAAGAACTTTGGCGAATGCTAGGGGTGGGAGTAATAATGAGATGGACATGAACGAGTGTGTGTGTGCACCTGAGGGTGCAGTGGGGGCTGACACACTTTCAAGGCTCAGTCCCTGGGGATAAGTGGATACCTCTCCTTACCCTTACCCTAGACTGAAAAAGCACAATGTCTTTGAAATGGCGTACTAAAATACCTACTCCATTGTGGTGATGGGAAGAGTAAATGCAGTCATAGTTGCAAAGTTATCTAATCCTGGCCCTGGCTTATACAACCTGTATAACGGATGCTTCTCCTGGTCAGAGATGTCTTTCACAAACAGAAACAAAGTGAAAGGAAAACGAGATCAATAAACAGCAGGTCACTGGCTTCAACTTAGAGACCATAGACCACTTCCTCCCATCTCAGCACATAGCCTTCTCAATTTGGGGGAAATCAGCAAACTTTGAACAGCAAAAAAAGAAAAAGAAGGAAGGCTGCAGGTAGAGGAGTCTGGAAGAGAAGCTGTGGGTCAAGGGAGAAGGCAGTAAACCAAAAATGTGTAGACATACTGTACCTTGCATGCAGTGGAAGCTGGAAAAACCCGGCAGCTGGCAGGGGCATCCCTGTGGACCCCCCGAGAGCTCCCTCCATCAGTAGCTGGCAGTCTGGTAGGACATGGACAGACGGGCTCCCTGTGTCATGGCTCCCCAGTGACCTGGAGGCACCCACATTGCCAAACTGGGAGGGAAAACGTGAGTAAGGGCAGAAAGCCTGCCAAGGCCTGGGGCAAGCAGAAGAACCCATGTCTCCTTGAGTCTACTTAAGGTAACACCATCTGAATAATTTTCCAAAATCTTCAACTTTATTTCATTGTTACTCTGCTAGGAAACTT